CCCGGACCTGGGATGTCCGGTGGGCAGCGTCCTCCCGACCTTAGCTCTGCGCCCCGCCTGGGAAGAAAGCGCCCCGAGACCTTGCGCCGGCCGCTGCCCGCTCACCTTCGTCCTCGGCCGAGGTCTCCGTGCCCTCCTGCGCCTTATCGGGACTCTCGTCCTTGCTTCTGGCCGCGTCGCCCTCGTCCTCATCCTCATCTTCGCTTTTGTTCCTCGGGGCCCAGGTCATCTTGTTCTCCTTCTTGAGGCGCCGGCGCGCGTTGGCGAACCAGGTGGAGACCTGGGTGAGGGTCATCTTGGTGATGATGGCCAGCATGATCTTCTCGCCCTTAGTGGGGTAGGGATTCTTGCGGTGCTCGTTGAGCCAGGCCTTGAGCGTGGCCGTGGCGTCCCGCGTGGCGTTCTTGCGGTACGCGGGGTCGTTGAGCTGGTACGGGTAGGCCGCGCTGCCATACGGGTGGTAGCTGATGGCGCCGGTCATGCCGGTGGTGTGCGCGTCGTAGGGTGCGCCCTGGAACCACAAGAGCCTGTGAGTGGAGTGTGCAGAGAGCCGGCGAGCAACCAGCCGGAGGATGCTGCCCCTCCGCCCGCCCACGGCCACCGTTCCCCCGTGAGTCTCTGGCTCTGGGGCTGCGCTTCCCGCGGCAAAAGAGCAGGAAAAACGAAGTGTGATTCGGGACCAGCTGTTGATCACAAAAAGTACCATAGTTTTATTCTCGAATTTTTGAACTATTTCACTTTCCTAAAATGACCCATCTTCCCCCAAGTGTTCCAGAGTTGCGTGTGGCGATGTACACAAACCCTCGCACGTGCGCGCACACAGGCCCACAGGTAGCTCTTTGATATCTAAATTTCTGCCGTTGCCTGGAGTGCCGCTGCCTCCCCCTACTCCCTCTTCCCCGCCCTTATATGGTTAAAAAAACACCCCAGAGCCCCCAATTCACTATTCACTGCTCTAAAGCTGGGCAAATCCAATTTGCAACTCAGAAGCCAGTCACCGTTTCGAATTCTTCAAATACGCCGTAATTAGCATTTTAATTCATCCTTTAACTTTTAAATTCGAGACATTTGCAGCCTTCGCCGAGGCCCCAGCGACTCGGTCGCTGCCCAGAAATTCCGCCGAGGGACGGCAGTGGTGACAATCCCGTAATGGCCTCAATCGCCCGTAACGTGCTTCGCTGCGGCCCGGGCCCGGCCCAGCTCAGGAACCTCGAGACTCGCGGGCCGCCTCAGGTCGCCGGAGCAGGAGCTGCGCTCGGGGCACGGAGCACTCAGGCGGCCCTTAGCGGGTCACACGCCCGCATGCACGATTTTTGAAAGCATGGTCCGCCGGACAGATTAAGGCCGAAACCTGGGCGCCTC